GGTGAGCAAAAAATTTTAAAAAGAGAACTGATGGACATGGAAAACAGTGTGGCGATTACAGGGTGGAGGGGGTGGGTGGAGGTAAAAGGGGATAAATGGTGGTGGGGAAAAAAGTAAAAATAAAGGGTTCAGATCACTCCCCAAATTATAGTGTTTTGTTTCTAGCTGAGTGCTGCCAGTTTAGAGCACGTTCAGGCCTTTTATGTGACATCTAGGAATTCTTACACTAATAGAGCAAGAACAAGGGGCCATGCCCTCTGAGCCTGAGGTCAGCAGGAAGGAGGCCTGGGAGAGCACTGCAGACGCGGCTCCTGCCATGGGGCTGGAGGGGGCCCCCACGCACACCAAGCACATCATGTGCAGGAATGTTTGCCCAGAGAAGCCAGAAACCTGGACTTCTGTGAGATAATTCTCAATTTTTAAATGATTGTGATTATCCCAAAGTCATTTCAACCCTTGCAGGCTAAGTGGCCTGTTCTGGGGCCAGATTCAGTCCACTCCTTAGCCTCAGACCTTGACATGTGAGCCAGTGGATGAGGTGACTCTGGGATTATAAACAAGTGGAAAACATTTTAGAACTACTCATATTATACTCCTAAATTGTTACTCTCCAAAGCCAGACCCTGTGGGTTTGCTTTGTTTAAGAGCCTTTCTCATGCTATGAATGATCTCTTTTAAAGGTCAAAGCTGAAGATGGAAGACATCAAAGAAGTAAATAAGGCACTGAAGGTACTGAATTATTCATGTTATTAGCGTAAGAACCACTCCTGTGACTGTTGGTCAGCTTGTGCTAACTAATATCCTGCATGCTCCTGGGTTTTCTCCCAAAAGCCAGGTTTTGAGAAATGAAGTTTGAGGTGTGGTCCTTATTTATCTATAGATAAAATGCTGCTCAGAGCCGTGTCACTGCTGAGATGGCAGTGGTCTGATCTCTGTTCCTCTGCCACCAGCGTAGTGTGACAGCAGGCCTAGATAACAGGTGTCCTAATGAAGGAAGAGAAAGGTAGCAGAAGAGGTCTAGGAATTTTTTTAAAATAGAGACCTTTTCCTTCAAGTGAGAGGCCAGAGGTCCCCCTGCCCCTCTTCAGTGCCTATGCCATTCCTGGGGACCACTGAAACCCTGAGCAGAGCAAGTGTCCGTGGCAGGGACCACTTGCTTTTGTCTGGCTACCGGGGTTGGCCCTCCTCCCTCCTGCCAGTTCAGGAGGCGCTCTGGAGTGCCTCAGCCAGGATTGGGGTGCAAGCACCAGATCCTGACTCTCAGTCCCCAGCCAGAGGGCGTGTATTGAAAGGACCTTAACAGGAGGCTGGAGAACCTGGCTTGAGGCCCAGGGGCAGCGTGCAGAGGCTGGAAAACCAGAGCCACAGGGCAGGCCAGGTCTGAGTGGAGAAAAGGCAGCCCCTGGAAGGGAATGTAGGTAGGCTACTGGGAAGGCACAGCGGATACTGGGCACCAGAACACAGCTCCACATCCATCAGGAGCCAGCCATCAATGTTCTTTTCTCCTAGGGCCACACTTGGCTGAAAGATGATGAAGCTACTCACTGTAAGCAGTGTGAGAAGGAGTTCTCCATCTCCCGGAGAAAGGTATGTGGGCTGGCCACCTCTGTGAGCCCAGGGGCCGGGTTGGTGCCCCGCTTGGGCTCCCCTTCCTCTGGTTCTGGGAAAAGCCCTTGGGACTTGGCCTACCTCACTGTGGTCATGCACTGGTGTTCCGGCCCATCCAGACTGTCCCTTTCTGGGGGTACCCTGACCAGTCATAGGCCTTGTCCCAGCACAGTCCTTTCAATGACTGGCAGATTTGGGAGTTGGGCTGGTTGTGTACAAGACTGGTCTAGGTGAATGTATCATTGAAAATTCTTTGTAAACAACAGGACCAAAATCTGTCAGAAGAAAGATCTGTGGAGAACCTATGAGCAGCAGGTCTTGGGACAGGCATCTAAGTAGCACCAAAAGTTCACAGGCCATCTGGGCAGGGCACCTGGTCCTGGTGAACCTGTTTCTCTGCCTGCCTTCAGGCCCAGCCTTTGGTCCAGGATCAGCAGGACCATGATTGACCAGTTGGGTGGGACAGCTGCAGGGTGTAGATGCTCAGGCAGTATTGGGAGCCCTCACTAAATGGGGGCATGCCTGCCACAGTGGCACCACCTCCCCACCTGCTGCCCTGTGGATGCAGTCTCATCTGCCCCCATTAGAACCCTCAGTGGCAGAGGAAGCGAGACTCCCACATTCTAGTGAGAACAAGCAGCAGCCTCCTGAGGCTGCCTTTGAGATCACACTTGTTCACAAGGCCTGCTACACGTTGGGCCTCCACAGGCCTGGCTCTCCCTACACCAGCTCAAGGTCCATCTTCTAGCCTGATGGGGGTGGCCAGTTGGCAGAAGTGATGTATAGAGCCAGAAGGAGCAGAGGCCACACAGGTCCTGGTCTTGGCATCTGCCCTATTCCCAAGGTTTGTGGCAGCTCTTCTTAAAAAGCAAGACACTCCCCTCCCTCCCCCAAGAGGGACCAGGAAAGTAGCCTTGGGTCAGCACCAGGAACGCAGTAGTCACGGGACCAGTAAAACACATTTTAAAGAAAAAGAACCTTACTCCTGCAAGTGCACACCCCAACACTCCATGGATTTTACAGGAACATAAATGTAGAAACAAAGGTCTGGAGGAACCCCTTCCAAATTGGTACATCTCGGAGGGCGGGCTCTGGTAGTAAGTGAACTCTGAAAGCTGAAAGGGAGCACAGCGTGTCCCGTGACTGCCTCTTTTCTGTCTGCTAGCACCACTGCCGAAACTGTGGCCACATCTTCTGCAACACGTGCTCCAGTAACGAGCTGGCCCTGCCCTCCTACCCCAAGCCGGTGCGAGTGTGCGACAGCTGCCACACCCTGCTCCTGCAGCGCTGCTCCTCCACCGTCTCCTAAGAACAGTGCCAACTGCAGGGGTTCGGGGGCTCTGGAAGCTCGTTTCCCAAGAGAATCTAAGAGCATAAGCTCCTGGGCCGGCCAGGCCGCTGGCGCTCTGCAATACAGGACGCCTGCTGGAGGCTGTGGGCAGCGGACTCTGGACTGAAACTTCCCTCTCACTTGGCTGCAGCACTGGTTTAGGGTCAAAAGTAACTTCATGGTTTTGCTATTGTCATTTTTCACTTTTCCAAGACTTCACCTGTTTTGCAGCAGTTGCACTAGTGTAGTGAGCAACCAGTTCCTCTCCCCACCGCCCTGTGTGCCTTCTGCTTGAGTCAAGAAGTGGGCCGTGTCAGACCCTGGCGCATCCGTCATTGGCCCTGCAATAAAACCCTTTTCCACTCTAGTGCAGAGAACGGAGGAGCTGTGTCAGCTTGAGTTGGCCTCTGGAGGACACCTCAGAGCAAGCTCCATTTCAGGACAGTAGGCTCTTTGGGGCTGTTTAGAGTGAAGCCTGCTGGGTTCTGGGGTACAGGTTGTGCTTGGCCCAGATAAGCCAAGGACAAGGTAGGCCATGAAGTCCATCAATGGGCACAGGAAGCAACCTTAAGCCTGTTGCAAAAGCTCATGACAGATGGAGACACCCCTGGGAAAGCGCCGGTGGGGTCTGGATTTCAGCAGTGCTAGGACAGGTGTTGGCTCTGGGCTCTGGAAACCAGCTCAGAGCCTTCCTCCTCGGGGCACATGCTCACCTCCCCCCCAGACAGTAGACAGTGGCCTCAAATGTTAGAAAACAGTTAACTGTCAGGACTAGTCAGTCCACTCGTGGACTGGGCTCCAGCCTTCACCCTCAGTGCACTCACCTGGACTCACCTTACCCTTTGGATTCACCTTTCTTTTTGCCAGGCTGTACCTCGCACCAGTCCCTCGGGACTGCTCCCAGCTGGCCAGCCCCTGGCTCTCTTCCTTCTCAGGAGGGCTCTTCCTGCAGCAGGCTCATCCAGCCTGGCTCAAGGTTCCACAATGTGCTGCTCCCTTAAACACATCTTTGTTATGGGGGACAGGCTCTGCGAGGTTAGGTCCCAGGATCTGTGCAGCCAGCCTCCAAAACTGTGCCTAGCTCCAAAGCCACGTTTCATCTGAGCTGCAGGTTTTCAAAACCTATCAGGGACTAACCCTCCTGAGCTTTTTAAATATTCATGGCCCAACTTTTCCCCAAACATTTACATACTGCCACACACCCCAAACTGGTCTGGCCTTAGATATATGTACCTTGTCCAGTGCACCAAATTTGTACTCCAGCTTGCTGGGGACCCGTAGGCAAGCCGCTTCACGCCTGAGCCTTGGCTCTCATCTGCACACACTAAAGGAAGCAGGGTAACACCTCCCTACTTCTGTGCGGTTCTGAAGGCTCGATAAGAACATGGCATGCCCACCACTGTGCCGCTAGTGCTCTTCCCTTTATCACACCTATTTTTCTCCCCCAACCACATTCCTCCCAACCACCCCCCAAGCAACAAATGTCCAAGCATTATTCACAAAGAACCCTTGTGCCGCACAGTTACCAATATTTAGCTGCAGAGAAGAAATAACTTTTTACTCAGACATCAGATGTGCCCCTGAAATTTGGTACCCTCTGGCCTGGCAACCTTATCCTGACCTGGGCAGTGACGGTTGTTCTAAGACAGTGCTTCTCAAGCTTAAGTGCACAGGCTGATTACCGGGGAGCCTAAAGGGAGATTTGTGTTAAATGCAGACAATAATTGGAGGTTCTGGTCATTCCTAACAAGGTTCCTAAGAACCAGAAATGTTCTGGGTTTGCTTACTCATTAGCTTTACTCCGTTTCTAGTTCTAGTCCCTTTTCCTTCATGTTTTTCAGTGAAAATGTCCCTTAAGTAAAACAAATTAAGGACTAGGGAAGGAGCCCTTTTTGAGCCTTCTCAACACCTGGTGTCTCCAATCCAGAGACATTTAATAACTCAGCCAAGACCTTAAAGGCAATACTAGGTTTAGATCGTAGCTGAACACCAGTGCTCACACTGAAAATTGTTAATCTCTAAACCTGCTGGACAAGCGACATGGTACATTCCAAGCGCAACACCTGTGTACCCACAGCCCTCCCCACACCGGAGCAGCACCAGTAGCCAGCAGAGCATGCAGCAGGCCTCATGCACACCGCGCAGTGCTGCCCCCTAGCCGTGGAATTGAGTGTACCCACCAAACCTCGCCTAGGAGAGAAAACTGTCGGCACTTGTCACAGCAAGAGGTGCACACACTCCAGGCTCCAATAGCACTAATGAGTCTAGGGCAAGCAGCACCTTTCAACTGGTATGCTGCAAGAGTTTTTAAAACATGCAAACCTGACTACTTAGGAGCACTGACCTCTCTTCCCTTAGATTGTCAAAAAAAGACAACAGCCAACACAATAGCTGCCTTGTGTGAACGCTGTCTGAACTAGAATATATAGGTCATTGTAACAGAACTGCAGCTTACTGATCATGTCTCAAAATAAGGTTGAATCTAGTTGGTTAATTCTTGGTACCAGAAATTCATATTTATAAGTATCGGCACCTGATTTTTTTAAAGTCACTTTGGAACAAAAACGGTAGGCAATTACTCATTTTAAGTCAATCAAAATTATACCTATTTTGTCAGATTAGCAGAAAAAAAGTTTTTGGTGTGCCGCAGAATTTTAAGTTTGTGTGTGCCATTAGGTGAAAATGGTTGAAAACTGGTCTAGAGGGACGGTTAATGAGTGGCAGTTTCCAAACTGCAGTCTAAGTACCTACTGAAAGGATTCCTGGAACACTTTTAAACTTCCGGATGCTGGAGTATTTCCTAGCAAATGTCAAATTCGAGTCCTTATCTCCCAAACAGATTTTAATGACTTAAACTAGCCATTTTTACTTCCAGAAATATGTGGTATTCTACCTCAACTTTAAAATAAATTTTGCTCTTAAGTGGTCTTGGATCTTTAGGAATGAGGCAAAAATATAAAGGTTAAAACCTCAATTTGAAAAACACTCCTTCCGTTCTCCTTCCAGGAGCATACTTGCACCTCCCCCCACCCCCAGGCACTTCACCCATTGCCTTCCTCACTCCTGAGCTCCAAGGGCCCTTCCTTCTTTTGCTGCTGTAACTTGTTTCATAAACCCATTTTCTTCTACCACCCACTTTCTTCCACCTCTGTAATTTTCTAACCAAACACTGTTACAGTTTGAAAAAAAACACAAAACACCTTGAATCTGAAAGCGGCCTATGAGGTAGCTTCTAGAAGACACTTCATATAAAAACTCAGAAGAACCCTGGCCAGGTAGCTTAAAGTTTTGTCCTGATACCCCAAGGTTGCAGGTTCAATCCCTGGTCAGGACACATACAAGAATCAACCAATGAGTGCATAGATGTGAAACAAATGGATGTTTTTCTCCCTTCCTTGAAAATCAATAAATATAAAAAGCCATCCAACTGAGGACAGCTCCTGCCACCCTTTGCCTGTAGCACTTCCTTCTCAGCCATGCCTGAAGGCCTCGGTGGACATGCAGCATGCAGTGAGGACACTTCCCCCTCTGCTTTGTGCAAGTGCTTAGCAAGTCAAAGGCAGGACACAAACATACAGCTGTCCACGATTACCTTCATTTGTACTGGAGGGAAGTCTGAAGACATCTACACAACAGCCTCAAATGTCGAGCCTCTCTGCCACAGCCAGAGACACGGGCCACTGTCACCTACGCCCCAGGCAGGAATAGAGCACCAAGAAACAGTCCACATGACACTGAAGCACAGACAAGACAAAGTGCAGTTTTTAAAAGGTTTATTTGACAAGTTTCACTTAGCGCAATACACCTAAAAGGAAATCACAATACAATGAAAGATTTAAATCAAGGCCTTGGAATTTCATACAAACACCAAGACCAAAATCCTAAAGTATTGGTATTGCGTCTCAAAACTTCCCCATTAACTTAAAAAAAAAAGCTTAAACTTACATGCCTTAGAAGTTATTAAATGAAACTACAAGTAACAAACATGCCAAATGTTTCACTTTTAATTGTAGACATAGCTCCTATATTGTTTTACAAAAAAAGCATGTCCTTCAACATGCTTCCAAAATGTTCAATGTGGTGTAAGAGCAACATTTAACATAATTCAACTGCTTTAACCTAAATATACTTACTGCTTAAGTACATCCTACAAGAGAACTAACTTGAGAAAAGCTAAAAATTGTTTAACAGTTATAGTTTACTCAACTTAGTTGTTACATCCTAGATGAATATTTGTGTTCAAAAATACTGAACCTTAAGTCTTTAATTCAATCCTGATTTCCACTTAGATTAAGCATAAATCACAAGCTGGTATTGCAAAACTGTTAAGTTTTGTTTTTCTCTAAAATAATGATGACCAAGAGTCAGTGATAAGGATCAGTTATATTCCCCATCCACCACTCATACTAGACATGCTAGACATCCCTCCCATTCCGTTCACTCCCACAGATGCACGGCTTCCACTACTGTAGTAGCTGCTGTTCACTGCTCCTTGGCTGCCTGCAAAGAGATCAATTTGACAAGTCAGGAGAAGTATCACATCATCAGTCAAGTAAAATATAGCATTCCAGGAAAAAGTTTAAAAAGTATACGAGTACAAATGGCTGCTGTCCAAGTGGCGAGAAGCATGTTTAGGAAAGGGGACTCCCGACTCCAAACAAGTCTCAATTAACCCCTTTTCTCTGCAGTACCAAAATCTTGCCAGACTCTCGTGCTACCATTTAAGCAGATGCTTCAGAATCAACATGGAAAATTAAGTTTAAAGGAAAACTAGTGTTTTTCAAAAATTGCAAAATTACTTCGTTTCTAAACCTAAACAAGGCATTTTTAAAAAATTTTACCATCAACATTCACAGTGTGTCCACTGAATGGCAGGTATGAATAGGGAGCACAGGGGCAGTCACTTGCTTTTCCTATTCATGGTGGGCAGGAAGTGAGACCAAGTGGGACTAAAGGCAGCTCACTGTGCCCAAAATGGCAGCCTCCATGGAGTTAACGCAGAGCCATTGACTGCTATAGAAATAGTATTAGCACAACATATCAGTATTTGCTATTGGGAATTTAAATTATATTTTTTGAGAAAATATTTACCTAGGCAATGTTTGATTGAAAATCACTGGAGTTTTCCTGTAAAACTTGGTCTGCAAAAGGATTTTGTAGGGTAAGACTATAACACCAAAATCACCATTCTTTAGACCAATTGAAAAAAATAAAACCAATCCTAGGTTAACTGACTAGTAAATACGGTCCTGAACCCAACCACCATTTTACTATTTTAAGTTCTCCCTCCATCTAAAATGGATTTAATAGGCTAACGGAAAGACAGAAAAAGTGAACTATTTATTTAATGTTTTAATATAAGTGGAGGCAGATGTTTTCTGGCTCTACAGTATTCCAAGTTGCACATTTAATTTACAGAAAACACTCCCCGCCCCCAAATGATTGGTTCTGCAAATTAAGCTATTAAAAAGTTATAACAGGATCAAAAGCATGTATTTATTTAATAACCCAATTTCACCAAAAAAGGAGCCTGCATATTCCCCCAACTAAAGAAACCTACCTAAAACTTACTGTAAGTATATTAAAAAGCACACTTACCATATCCACTCATGCTGCTCTGGCCACCATAGCCGCCTCCATAACCACCACTCAGCTGCTGGCTGGTTGGGCCACCATAACTGGACTGGTTTGCTGTTAAGTTAAGAGACCGTTAGGACCTTTGTTCCCTATGTAATGTGGTACCTGGTGGTACCGGGCTTGTAATTCTAAATCTATGATTTCAATTCTTCATCTTACATTATTATAAACCTTTGTCTACATTCTATGAACAGACTACCACTCTATCTATCATCTGAGCTAGTCAAACATTTATAAACCAACTGGCCCAAAGTACATACATTGGCAGGACTAAATCCACATGATTCCATAGAGGCATTCTGAGAAAACCTTATGAAACTGTTTAACTGAATTTAGTGGGGTTGTTCCCCATAATTTGATATATTAAGGCTATGTTAATACACAGGTATCACTGAACACCTGTTTATGCCAAACAAATTATGTCCAGAAATTTAAGTTATTTTGATCCTGTGCTTTTTGCTAAGTCATTAATTTTAGATTTATACTTTAGACAATTCAACTAGTTTCTTTAATGCCCTTCCCCCACCCAAATACTTAAAATTAGTTATCTACTCTAAGTAGTTTTACATAAATCAAGGATTTAAGTCAGACCCAAATTTCAAATCAAAACTTTTTCCTTTGCCTAACTTAATATGCTAAACTCATAAAATATGTTAACTTAACTTACATAATCGACTTATACAGATATAAATGTTTTGGTTTTTAAAAAAACTAACGATATTTACACAAGCCCATGCCTCCCATCATTTGGCTACCATAAGCACCACCGCTTGCTCCTGCTGTAGAATTCAAGAAGAGTTCTACATATCTGTGTTCTGAAATGAGAGAAAAGGCATACAAGGTTAGCTTAAAAAAAAGACACTAAAGTGATATTTACACAAACCCATGCCTCCTAGCATTTGGCTACCGTAAGCACCACCGCTTGCTCCTGCTGTAGAATTCAAGAAGAGTTCTACATATCTGTGTTCTGAAATGAGAAAAAAAAAAGTTTGAAAATGTTTGTTGGTGAAAGAACACTAAATTCTTAAGAACTGAACTTCAAATATTTTGGTAAAGAAAAAAATTCTAGCTGCTTCTCTCAGGTGATTTACTTTAACTACGCAGCTTTCCAAAACTAGCCTTAAGTTTATTAAGGATATACTTCAAGTCAATATTTGAATCATAAATCCGTTTCAGTCACACTAATTTTAAAGACCCACAAAATTTTTTTAACACATCCAAAGAGCATCAGCAAACGGATTTCTCCTACATCCTCACTATTCTATTCCTATTATGTTCCTCACACAACCGCCTGTAAAGACTCCCTACAACACTTAAATCACACTTACGCATATTTGCTTTGTCTTTTGACATAGCTGCCACAGCATCTTCATGTGTTGCAAACTCGACATCTGCTTCACCAGTTACTCTGCCATCAGGACCAATTTCAATATGTACTCTCACAGGGTTGAGCGGTGAAAAAAACTAAATACAAGGTATTTCAGAGAATCCAGTCAACTTTCTAAAGTTACAAAAAATTTATAGCATGCTGTTTCACTTAAGCAGAAGACGCCAGGTTTTTACTGCTATACTGAAATAGCAGGCTTGCGAGTTCCTCTTACACTTACATTATAAATGTCATTCTCAGTAGCTCTGTAAGGTAATCCCCGCATGTGTACACAGTGTCCAGTTGTGCTCTGGAAAGTAGAGCCACCATCCCCGTATCTGTGGTCAGACATTCCTGAAAAACAGTAATTGAGGTCTAGATGGACAAGAGTGTAAGTAGCCTTCGGTTGAGAAATTCAATTCTTACTTTACCTCTTCCAAATCTGTCTGACCCAAAACCATAGCCATCATTATAGCCATTATAATCATCATAGCCTCCATAACCTGCAAGACAAAAAGTACAATCAATCAAATGACAACACACGAAGAACCACCCTCCTCACGCCTGCATATTCTCACATACCTCCACCATACGCACCACGCCTCATCCTTTCAAAGCCGGCTCCCCTGCCAATGCTGTTATACCCTCTGCCAGCCCCAGGTCTGTCATAGGGACCTGGCCGCTGCATGGCCATGAGCTTTCGAGGTGGATCATAATGAGTTCTAACTTCAGCTCGACTGCTCTTAAAGATTTCGATATACCTAAAGCATTGTTCATGAAGGAAGGGAATGGGGAGGGGAGAGAAAACATTAGTTCATGTCGTACAAGTATTTAGTTACACAAGAAAACAATGTAGTCATAGCCATGAAACTGACTAATATTTAAAGCCAGATTTCTTATATTTGCATAGGCAATGACCAGAAATTCACTCAATTGTAAGATTACTTCATGTAAACTTTACAGAAAACTCACTCCTCTAAGGCAGAGAGCCCACCCTTAGGGATGGAGAGGAGTACTGAAAATAAATGTTTTAGGAGGGAAAGGATTCCACTCAACTTTCAACATTTCATGTCTTAAATCCTTTGGCAGTATGTATAGCAAGTGGGCTAAAAAGCTAGCCTCCACCAACAGTCTAGCCCACACTACACACTTCCTTTCGCCAATAAATACCCCAGCCTATGCTTTTAGTAGGAATCAGCATAGGTAAGCGCATGCTTCAATGAAAAATAGTCACAAGCGAAGAGAATAAAACCTTTTGTGACAATTTCTTGAAAGCTATGCTTATTAATACATATGCAGAATATTTATACAGCAAGAAAGTTTGTTGCATTTCAACTTTAAAAACAAGATCAGAAAGTATCACATTTTCTTATGGTAATATTAATTTACTATGTGGGTGTTATTACAGCTAAAGCCAGGTTTGCATTACATTTTTTTAAAGCCATAGTCTCTCAACTCAATTGACTGGGGTTAGGTAGATAGCTTACAAAATTGCAAAGTAGACCAAATTAACTGAGAACAATTTTAAGGCCTAAAATTTAATCTGAATGCATTATGGGACTCTGACATAAAGTTTGAAAACTGTGGCCAAACATCAATTAATTGGGACTAGGAAATATTTACTCCTTCTAAGCAGAGAGAATATGGATTTAACATTTTACCATAAGAAAAGTGACAAATCCAACCAACCATCCATCCCCACCTGTGCCCTATTCTTTCCTTGTGTTTCTTTAGAGCCTTTTCAGCTATTTCCTGTGAAGCAAACTGCACGAAGGCCTCCCCCGTACTCCTCCCCTGGAAGTCCACCGGCAATGTTATCCCATTTGGCACGATTTCCAACCCTTCAACCCAAGGACAAATAACCCCAGTAGGGGGGCAATATTAACATCACAAGCCCAGAAATGATTCTTCTTATAGCTTTAAATAAACCAGAATTTTAACTTTAGGTGAACGGTATGCTTTCAACAAGTACTCTTTAAATATGCATTGCAGTAATATGAAGTTCCATTATTACTAAGTATAACAATTCTTAACACATCCCAGGGCACAGTATTTAAGAAAGAACTTGAACACAGGATGAATTAAGAATTCAACAATTACAAACACTCTTATCTACTCAATGTTGAAAATTACACAAGAATTTAATAAAGTTTCAAACATTAAACACAACAGTTTTACTAAATTCAAGACACTTTTTACCTCAATTCGTATAGTTCAATGTTTTAAGTTAGTGGAACTTCAAGTTTAAAAAATTTACACATTTAAACATTTTATATAAAAATTGAAACATTGCTTAAGTATATCATTGACAAACATACAATCTAAACTTTCAACAAACAACTGATCTAGACAGCACAATCATGCACTCTTAATGCTCTAACAGCAGTATGATTCACTTCTGGAAATTCCGTCTATGAAAAATCCTTTCCGTGGATACATTCCCAAGCTTACAAAAAGGGCTTAAAGCACTTTCCTAGAAGATATGAAATTATGTTCATATTTAACGTTGACAGCATTAAATTCTCACGAATTTAGATAAAACAAAAACAGACTTGATTTCAAAAATTCTGGCAAAGTATTAGGACTTGATACATATGTAACAGTCAGGATTTTAATACATACTACCCTAAACCATGGAAGGACTTCTTGTTCTTAGCTCCAGTTTATGACATCATGAATATCAAATAATAGTATTTTAGATATATAATCGAACAGTCTATTGAACATGCAATTTTATCGGCTCTTCAGCATAAAAACATTCAAGTACCTTAGGACCAGAACAACTTTAAAACACTCTGTATTTTAGATATTAAGACTATACATTCTACCTATTCTTTGACTTTCAGTAAGTTTAGAATTCCCTGGCTAAGCCAGTTTTTCTGCATAAAGAGAATTAGACTGCTAAGAGACATTTCTGGTCTCAGGACCCAACGTGTCTTACAATATAGACACCTGCCATAAATTACAACCACCTCACTCATACTAATCTAATGTTAAGGGATCTTACCTTTAACTTGATGTACTTTTTCTGCTGAACAGCATTGTGAGGAAAGTAGTTAAAGCTGTTGAGGACAATCCTCAAAGATCTACTCTGAACTACAATACTAAATATAGGCAAAGTTAGCATTTTCGAAGTACTTAATTTCCACCATTAAGATGGGCGTAAATTATATGAAGGTCTCCAGGAAGAAGAAAACATTAATTCATCTGCATATACTCACAACCTGTTTAAATATCTAAGGTCTATTAAATCATGTTGCCAGAAGCTAGCCGAAACTCACTGCTCAGCAACAAACACGACTACATACCTGAGAAGAACTGAACAATTTCTTCCTTGCTACATCCAAAGGGGAGTCCTCTAAGCCGTACAAAGCCATCATTGGCCGTGTCAGGACTATTTGGACCAGTATGCTTCAACACCCAATCCATTTCAACGTTGTTTGACTTGAATACTGAAAGAGGTGCTTAGAATTAGTCAATTTTGGAAAGTTAGAGAACAAAGTTCAGACTTCCTAGGTCTTTAGATAATCTAGGAAGAGCTGCCACAAACTCCCTTAGGTGACCATTTCCATGCGGTCAAATACCTAAAATTCAGAAGGGATAAAATAGATCTCTCCGAGTTTAATGTTTATTTACTGTTACTAGGGCAACATAAATCAAACCTTCAACATATCTGTGTCCCATAGTTTCTCTGTCTTTTTTCAGGGCCAATTTGACTTCATCTTCTGATTCAAGTTCAACAAAAGCCTCGCCACTCGGTCTGCCTTCTCTGGTGTAGATGAAACGAATACCTTGAGCCCCATTTTGAATTTTGCAGTCTGGAAAGAAAACAACCGTTAATACAGAATTTAAAATTTAAAACCACCTCTGGGTGATACAGATGAAATGCCTATTCATTCCCCTACTACAAAGTAGATCACATGCAAAGCCTAAAATGACCAAGATATTACTAACTCCTAGAGTCTCTTCACGGTAATTAAGCAGTTATCCCCTCCAGATCAAACTTTATTCCCTAGATGATATCCTCTCAATGCATCAATAAAACCCAATATTCAAAGAAGTTCCTTAACAAAAATCTCCAAGTTCTCACTACCCAAGTGTCTCCATTAACAGCATTTGTAACTTCTCAGTAAGTTAAGTTTGGACCTTATTTTAATGCATTTTCTGAATATATTTGTTTCATCTTTTGGTCTGGGACCTTGATCGTTTCACCTTTCTAGCAGCAACATTACAATCCAAATTGCAGGGCCAATACTCACCTGAAAGGGGATCAATGTTACAAAGCTAAAATGCTCCAAGTTGAACAGCTGAAGCCAAACCCAGTCTTGCCCACTGCAAGGTGGCTTCCAGTGTACTTGGTTCTTGTTTTACAGGTCGTTTTCCGTTACCAACACTAAATTCAGATAGTCAGTCAATACTACAAGTGTCCTTCCAAAACCTGTAGATTTCTTCCAAATCAAGCTTTATCAGTCTAGTCTTATACTAATGGAAACAATGATATGTTGGCAGGAATTATTCAGGAAACCTACATACTTGGGAAAAAGCTCGTTAGGCGCGTGAACTTGCCTGGGCTTCAGTGTAAAGAACTCCACGAACAAGAACTCAACTACCAAATCCTGGTTAGGAAAACTGTCTAAAATTAGGAAGTGACCCTTTAACTCTAGGAACCAAAATGCCCCCTTTTCAAGGACATGCAAAAATTGTAAAGTTGTTATATTACTATTTACCCAGCCACTAGACAATTTTCTTAAAGTTGAGGGGGAAATCCAATTTGTCCTTTTGAAAACATCCATAGAAAAGCTAGTGCTTGAAGGTAGGTAAAGACAAAAAAATCCCGCCCTGGCCGGTGTGTCTCAAAAGTTAAGAGCGTCGCTCGTGCACCAAGGGGCGAGGGTTCATTCTGGGGCAGGTGTGGGAAGCAATGAATCGATCACATCGATGCTT